CATCAAAGCAGCCATCATTACAGCTATCATTAACCCCCGGAGGCCTGGAACACACACACACTTACAATTACTTGATTTTTAGGGCTAAAAGGTTGTGACATGTGCTTTATTCACATTTGCTAAAGTGATGTTAACAGTTCAAACATATAATATACACAATATGAAAAACATAAAATCCTGATCCTGATTACCGCTGGGCATGAGCTCGATGACCAGTTTTGGAAAAGCAAGGTTGGAACATCCCACCTCTGCACCACACACCTTTACACACTCTTCAGGGTCCACACAAGCCACTGTGTCTGAAAAAAAGCAACATGTACATATAAATAAACAGTATTGCCTATTTAAAATAAATGTTCTATAGCCTAAGGTACTATTACGAAACAAAACATTCATGAAACCCCAAATGATGGAAAAGGTAATTTTTTTTTAGCAAACTATAATCAACTATTTGAATAGTAAGGGACACATAATGTTTGATATATAGCCTATAGGCCTATATCCTCATATTCATTTCTAGACAAAACACACATTTGTGGAACTGGACTTTTTACTCAAAACTTTAATTACTGAGATTAATTTCTTGAGGCAGTTTCCCCGTGTGACAACTAGCCCCCGGCTGGCCATTTAAGTGTCTGCCTACAACCACTACTTTGTTACAAAGTCAGGGGAAATGTCTGTTTCACTTTCATCCGTTTCCTGTCATTTTTTTCCCGGATACCCCGCCCAAAACCCACGTAACTGTTGACTCGACACGACAGTCTATTCGGCCAGCACGAGCACGCCGCGTCATCAGTGCTCATGCAACCCGACGTCTGGCCTCTTCCTCTTTCTAGCTCCACAGAAGTAGGGCAAAGTCACACAAAAGCCCCACAGGACTTTAATGGACAACAAACTCAGGACATTATTTAAACCAGGAGACGGAACGTGGAAGAAACTGTGAAACTTTTGTTTTCTCGTCGGCGATATCCAAGGTTTATGCTTTTGTGGAAGATAAACGGGGATTTTGCCGGTTTGACTGAAGTCTGTTGCGCTTGTGTGTGCATGTGTGTGTGTTTGTGCCCCTCCCGGTCAGGTGACTGAGGTGTGTCTAATCACCAGAGCCTCTGGTGATGCTTTGTTCCAGTCTACCTGTCGGTAAAACTGAGAGATGATCTCCGGCTCAGCGGTCAGCTGCGTCCTGTAACGTTACTACTGAACTACCCTGCACGGGGAAATATGATCAAATAACATCTGAGCAATCGTGTATATATCTTTAGGAAACAACATAGCCTTTATTTGAATGAAAAACGAGCTTTTTGGTACTTAAGTTATAGCTTTTATCAGCTTTGACACCAACAAAATCGATGAATCGACACTTTACCATGGAAACGGTTTACCACGATCACGAACGGAATTTTTCTAGCCGTTAACCGAGGAAGACAAACTTTGAGAAGAGTTTTAAGAGGATTATAGTGGGACCTAACTTAATAAAATCCTTAACGAGAAGAAGAAGAAAAAAGGAACCGGTTTCTATCACCTAACTCGGACTGTGTGTGGAAACGATGGCGCTTTCTCAAGTTCAGTGTCTGGATAACAATCATGTGAACTGGCGTCTTAATGAATCTAAACCGGAGTTTTTCTATAGTGAGGATCAGCGGCTGGCGCTCGAGGCGCTTGCTACGAAAGGACGCGACGCTTTTGACGCATACGTGAAAGAGCACGAGCTGCGTCCTTTTCTGTCGGAAGAGGAGCTCGAGTTGCTCCGTCGGAAAATAGAAGATTATCAGCCCGGTTCTGAGCATCAAAAACCAAATGGTACGACGGAGGGAGAGGACATTGCGGTGTCTTTGCAGTATTGGCCGGACCGCTCAGATATCTCCATACCGAATCTAGATCTCGGATGGCCCGAATGCACTTCTTACCGCGGAGTGACGCGCGTCAATGTGTACACGCAACCGCCGTTGGACGGACAGACGCATATAAAAGAGGTTGTGAGGAAAGCCATAGCGCAAGCACAGAAGGTGGGTAAACTAGAGGAACTTGAAAAGCACGATTGTATATGGTCAGTCCGCCTCAGAAACACTGCAGACCCCTTTGTCTAGATTAGTCAGTGACTTAATAAAAAAAAAAAAAAGTCAACAATTCGGTGCACGTCACATTTCACCAACTGTCCAGTGTCCACTTAACTACAAGAGATTTATGTTATGCATGTGTAAAATGACAGTGCTCACTTAATTTAGCGATATGTCGTCCTATATTGATAATAAAGGAAAATGCTTAAGCAAGCATGCTATTCATAAGTTGCTATGGTTACCTTTGCACACTCTGAAACGTTGTTTGAAAACATTTTGAACTTACCTACTTGTAACCCCCCCCCCCCCCCCATTACCAAGTCTCATTAATAATATTTTTCATTATTTGTCTATAATTCTAAATACTCACCGTGCATCTTATAATTTTAATCATGGCTATGAAGAGAAATAATCAATGACAACAGGGGGGTGATGGGGTATAAGGTGGTTACGGCCCTTACTGATAAGCAAAAAAAGCTGTTATATTTTTTTGTCAACACACTTTTAAACACAACTCTTCTCCTTCAAGCTCATTCATTTTTAAAAAAGATAACCTGTTTTTACAATGTAATTGTCCGTTATTAATTGAGTTCAGCAATAAAAACTAAAAATGTCCAAATATCCATCACATTTCACAATCATTACTGGTTTCCAACTGACTCATTTTTCTTGTTAGAACTTGCTAAAGCTTTAACCCAGAGCTTCGGCCCATGACACATACCGGCATAAATTCTCTTCCTCCCCGTCTCTCTTTACCGCACTCAAACTGAAATGTTCATTCAAATAGATCCCTTTATCCAAAGACATTTGTCACAATGAGTGCTTATAATGAGATACTAGGTAGAGTACAACCGACTTGGGGTGTGTAGGAGTTGTTTTGTGTTTACATCATCATGTTGTATTCTTAATAAAGAGAACATACTCCTTACTAACAATAGAACTGTAATTGGAGTATGGCCTGTATAGTATACACACTGAGAAAGAATACAAAATTATTTTTATGTTGTCTGGGTTGAACTGTTTAACTAACTATACATTTACTGTGTGTGTTTGCAGATGATAGCTGTGGTAATGGATGTTTTCACAGACGTTGACATTTTTAAGGATATGATAGAGACTGGATTTAAAAAGAAAGTGGCTATATACATTATTATAGATCATGCTGCTGTACAGGACTTCCTGTTTATGTGTGAGAGAGCCAACATGCACAAAGGGCACCTCAATGTGAGTTGAAGACGCATTTACTTATGTCTGTTTTGTAGACTGTTTTAAGTCCTTAATATCAGAAAAGATGTAGTCTGTGTATGAATAACAACTTGTTTTGTTTTTTTAGCATCTGAGGGTGCGATGCATCGGTGGTTGCGAATTCTACACACGCTCTGCTCAGAAGGTGTGTGGCTCATTGAGGCAGAAATTCATGTTTGTGGATGGAGACCGAGCTGTGTCCGGATCATACAGGTTTGTACTGTATGTGTGAATTTGAATGTGTGTATGTACATATACACAGGGCTTGACATTAACTTTTTCGCTCACCAGCCACTGTGGCTAGTGATTTTCCAAGTGACTAGCGACTCGGCATTTTCACTGGCCACAATTTGACATCGATACCATGGGTAAAAACCACCATTGAGATATTTTTTATATACTATCTCATAATTTGACAGCCGGCGTATTAGGCTGCTGTCACTTTAAGACCTGATGCACGGACCCATTATACTGTTTTATATAGCCAATATACTATCTTCACTAATCTCAATATCGAGTGTTTGGGTGAGATTAGTGAAGCTTCCAGTTGAAAAACATTTAATACACAATGGTAAATTAGAGGGTATAAATATACAAGGGTGTAACAAAACAATCAAACTAGAATATGGATTAAAAATGTCAAAACAATAATCTAGTCAAAGCCTGATAAACCAATCACATGGTAGGAAATACCAGAATACAAAAAAGAGAAGTGTGAACAGACAAATCAAGAACAGGAAAGCTACAGTAGTGAGCTACTATTCTGTCACAGAATTGGACAACATAATGTTGCTATTAGGTAGTTACCCCTTAACACTGGTGCTAACATTCTTTAAGATATTTTGAGTTGCTAGTTTAAATGTCAATTTATGTGCTTCTATTCTGTGCATGTATTATTTGTTTGTCCACTTTGTTTTTGTTTCTGACTTCTGGCATTTTCATATTTCAGTTTTACGTGGACGGCTTCTCGTTTGGACCGAAACATAATTACAGTCATGACTGGGCAGTCCGTTGAAACTTTTGACAAGGAGTTTCGCGAACTGTACCTGAACTCTCTTGGGGTCAACCTCTCCAAGATTCCTTTGGCGGAACTTCCGGAGCTTGAGCCTACCCCAGTTGTCGTTCCTCCCCCTGTTTCCGCAGCTGTTGCAAGAAAACTAATTAACCCCAAATATGCTTTGGTCAATGTAGATACAACAAGCAAATCCTCTTCAGACAAAGCTAGTGCCAAGATCAATCCTCTGGTCAAGATTCCCAAGCCTCAAAAGGAGTTGCAAATGCATCCAGGACTTGTAGGCTTGCCAAAGGCAGATCTCATTCTTTACTTGCCCATCTGGCCCGAGCCAGACCCATCCAGTGATGTTATTGGGTATATTAACATTCGTGACACAAACAAGCCAGCACCAGTGCATTTAATGCGCTCGCAAATGTTTGAAACATCTCAAGCGATCCGCTTTAAAGACCCTTTCACTGGCCCACCTGAGGAACCGCTACCAGATAAGGCAACTCTTCGTCTTACAACAGCACAGTTGTCTAAAATAGAAAAAGGTAAATCAAGCGCCCAACTTCAGCCAGAGATTGATTCTAGTAATGCCCTTCAAGATACACCAGCCAATACACCTGATTCAACAAGCTCTCCAATCCAGCAACCAGACCCCAAACCCAACCTTCCTCCAGAAGAGCAGGAGCCCAACCATGAACCACCAGAAGTCCAACAGGCTTCAGATCTGCCTGTTCCCAAGCCACGCACCATTCAGTTGGTGGTTAATAAGCCTGAAGGCTCTGGAGACGCAGAGGTCACTTTAGTCAGAAGGGCGGAAAACCAGACGATGGATGCACACAGGGTTGCTGAAGACAACGACGCCATTAGCACCGCTGTGACCTGTGCACATTCATTAAAGGATAAAGATGAAAATTCCACAATGTCAGATGAATACTATGAATGTACTGATTCCGATAGCAGTGACAAACTCCCTAACGGAAGGATAACGGGTTCCAGTCGTGTTGGAGAACACAGCGATAATGCGCTTAACGTGATGGCCCGCTTCTCTCAATCCATGCTGGACTTGAGATCGGATGACGTTGAGCTGGATCTGCAAAGCACTGCCGAGAGGAATCTACTGAACACGCAGAACAGAAACAAAACAAAGGTAGGTAGGACTTTGATTTAGTGTGTCTGAATGTGAAAGTGCTTTTTATCAGATTTGGCTCTCCACTCTACCAGTCATTAAACCTGGGAGTGTCTCAAATTGATGAAAAGAAGCCAGGCATATGCGTTATGGAACGCACAAGGGTGTGCCGATGTTGATATTTCCTGCATGCCTTAACCTGCTATAAGTGCTAAAACACATGTATAGGGGTAGTAGGTGGGAGGAGGGTAAATGTAAATGAAGTTGCATATCAGATGAGAACAGGAATAGCATGTTATTAGGGTTTGTCAGATCCTCATTTTGGTGGGATTTCCCCATGAAAGAAGTAGTAGTGTGTACATATATATATAGGGCCATTATTGGATAAACTTGTGCATGCTCCTTTTTCCCCCATTACAAAATTATATAAATTTAGATTCTGCTCACTTAAAGGTAATCTTTAAAAACTCAAGTACTGGTATTCTTTAGCAAAATCTCAAATAATACATTTTTGATACTGTATGTTTTAACTTAGTGACGCCTTAATAAACTTGTTGCAAAGTTTATTAAATAAACTTTAATAATATTGCTATTTATTGTTTATCAACCATAACATGAAAATTATCATTTCCCAATATACGGACATCCCTACTTTTATCACATAGTTCTTACAAATATTTGCCTAATGCCATTAATTCTATCCTAAACTATTTCCAATAATATTCTAATGTTTCTAATAAAATTTTTCCATTTAAGTATGATGTAAAAATATTTTGAAACCAAAAGCATTTTGGGGGGCCTAAAGCCTGCTTCCTGCTTAAGGTTGTAGCTGCTTTTATATGGTTTCTAGCTGGTTTAGAATAGTGTAGTACAACTTGGTCAAGCTTGGTTAGGTCTAGTAGTCCACCTTGGACCAGCAACAAACCAGCTACCATGTACCAAAAACCAACTTGACCAACATAAGCTGGTATTACCTGATTTTCTTTACGTAGTCTTAAAAGGTGACAAAGCTTGCACAGAAGATGACATAGAACTGAATTTTTGCAGCTCTAGCGGATACAGCAGCTGGAGCGTGTGTGTAGTACCTGGGTAGAGTGCCCTGCTGATCATGCCAGGTAGGATGATGAAGATCATGGGAAGCATCTTGAGATAGCTGGCAAAGATGGACGCCCCTTTGGCGTGACTCATATTCTTTGCTGACAGAGATCTCTGCACGATTACCTGCCAATGATCAACCAACATTATTATTCTGTCTTTACTGAATTATTTTTGAAAAATTCATCAGAACAGTTTATAGTTTGTCCAACCATTTGAAATTATGCCTGAAGGCTGTTTTTCATTTTTCTTTTTCACGTATACCTTCCTCCCTTTCAGCTTTACCAGATGGTCTCCAGGTCACCTCTTCGAGACGGTTATGGCCGGGCCAAAGTGGTGATTGCAAAACCTGGAGTGTTCCATAGACCCCCTAAAAGCAGCGGCCGTGTGATCGGGGGCCACAGGTACTGGCAGGGGAAGATGCATGGCCATGAACTCTCCTCAAGTGGATCAGGCCAGCAAAACCTAAACCGTTCAGGTCGGTCCCCCAGGAGACAAAGCCCCGCCTATACGATAGAAGGACTGCGAACAAGCCAATCACCCGCTCAGCGCCTCATACACTCTCAGTCTCTTTCCCCCGCTCAACGGGCCTCTCAAACAAAGTCTCCGTCTCCTCGTAGACGGGTCGAGACTCGCACGCCATTAGGAATCTCTTTATCTAAACTCGCCAGTTTCAAACACTTCAGAGGGAAGGTTCCAGTGAACACGTCTGGTTTTGCATTGGGGGATAAATTGTTGACTCATAGTCAAAGTGAAAAGTAACTGATTTGTAGTGGCTTTCTTCCCGTAAATAACAACTTTGTATTGAGTACAAAGGCATGAATGTGTATTGATGTAGCCGCCAGTCTCCGCTGATAAAGGCTTTTCAACTGGAGTTCAACTGGATCTAAACTGACACGAGTGTTACAGTGGCACACAAACACTGACATTTTCTGGACCGTGGCAAGGAGCTCTTGTTGCATAAAGCCTTACTCTTTATTGACGTGCCTTTTGAGTAATCTGTCCTAGTGCAAGGGAATTTGGTGGTGGATTTATGACCATGGTGATGGCAATTTTTCACATTCACCTCTATTGTTGGCTAATTGTTGTGGGAAAAGGACGTTGAAAAGTTTGTTACAGTACAGACTGAAAGTGGGTTATATTTTAAAACGCACACACTAATATTCTGAGTCTGCAGTTGTCCCTGGTTTTATCAGAGGAGATCAAGGCCTGTTCACACCAGGACAGATGTTTTGTGCAAAAAAATGAGTTGTGATAAACATTTTAATTTTAGTTAACGGCTTTAAATGCATCTTTTCACACTGATTTAAACATTTGCTTGCTGTCAATGCAATTTAAAAAAAAAAATAAGGTTAAAAGGTTTGCGCATTAGGTCACATGCCCAGAGTTGCTGCTGTTTCATAAAACTACGACTTTGTGGTACACACAAATCTAAAAGACTATTTTGCTTAGAAACAGTGTATAAACCTGGGTATTTCAGTTTTTTTTTCCATAAGCGCCACCTACTTTCTGAAGTAAGTTTGTATTTTCTTTCAGCCCATCTACAGGTTTTTACATTTCCATTTGAAAAAAAAAAAATTTGCATGCAAATATTTGACCACATTTTTATGCCAAACATTTGTGTTGGTGTGAACAAGTCTTCAGCTTTTGAGTTGGAGTCAAGGCCAAACCCTCCAACATCCAGACCAAGACCTGTCCATTTCTTATTCAGAAAATGCTGAATTTATTGCAGCATTCATTTCAGATACTGAGCCACTTTGCGAGGTGTTGAACTGTGGTCACGGCTGAGGACCTTAGCTAAGACCCAAAACAAGACTTTTAAGATTTGAGCCCCCAACCAGAGGACCTACTGTAATAAGACTCAGACCAAAACAACTTTTATTGGGCCTTGAAGGGATTCCAACTCTTGACAGTATTTCTAGGAATTTAATCATTTGTCTTCCGATGATGTTTTTTTTTTTTTTTTTTTTTGCCTTCCAAGGAGGTTTGGAAATAAAATGCTCAAGATGTTATGTGCACTATACTTTAAAGAAGGAAAGTGTTATAACTTTAATTATTACAAAGGCAGTCTTCTAAATTGTCTCAACCATTGTGCTTATGTTTTTAAATAAATAAAGCTTAAAAAGCAAGGTGTTTTAAAGATGCTAGTCAGCACACACTGATTCCTACAGTTTCTGTAAGGATATACTTGAATCATTTGGTGACGTTTTCAATGATGCAGGAGTCAATGTAGGCTTTAGTCAGGGTAGTTGTACTTAATTTGACGCGAATCCCTCACAGTCTCGTTTTCATTGCGTCAAATTAGATGGGTCTACCCTACCCTGACTTAGGTTCATTTCAGGCTTGGTAGATTTTTTTTTTCTCCTAAGCCTTTATATCTTATAGTATCTTATAACAGAATGCAAGTAACAATGCAAATTACATTTGCAATACTGTCCTCTACATGAGGCCTTTTACATTGTGTGAGAACCAGGATAGACTTATCATCTATTTTTGAGAGGAAGTGTGTGTTTAAGCATACCTGATCAGTGCACCAGTACCATGTTGCAAGAATGGTTAATCCCAGTGTCATGCCTGGCCAGGGTAGGTCTCCGTGAACAGGGTCTCTGAACAGGTGCATGGCATCAGGCCTGGGCAGGTGACATGTTGTGTTTGGGATGATCTTAGATGGCACCGCTTTCAAATACACGCTCTCCAGGTTATTGTAGCCTCCGATTTTATTGAATGCTGTAATGTACATAAATACATATCAGCTAAATCTACTACTGTTTTGGGTAAAATGTAGAGATTTGGCATAAAAATGTATCTTTGTAGTTTTGTCAAAAAAACATGGCGTCAAAACACAATGTATATTTTGAATTGAATACAATTAAAAATATTATTTAAATTTCTTTAACTTGTTTAGACTTGTGTGGATAATTGTGTGCGTGCATTTTTCTTTTCATTTTCGGTTCTTTAAAACCTTTACAGATGGTTTTCTGTAAGTTGCTAAAGTCATGGGATTTACCACATCCCCATGAAAACCAGCTATGCAGGTTTTAAAGTGTTTCAATGTGTCCTAACCGGACATGATGCGATAAAACCTCTCTTTGACAAAAATGTGAGGTGCGTTTTTGTTTATTCTGAACAGCTGTGTCGAGTTACGGGACGTTTCGTTTGTTGCCTGTGACAGTCACAGTGAAATCTGCTCCACATTACACCAAATATGTTGATATTTTTGCCTGTTACTGTGCAGCATCGTGTAGTGTTTGCACTTTCACGGAGAAAAGGCAAATTCCATAATAAGGTGAAAGTTTGACCATTACTTCAATAGCACCATGCATGCACTCTTAAAAATAAAGGTTCTGTATTGGCATCGATGGTTCCATTAGGAACCTTTCCATTGCACTAAAGGTTATTTATAGTGGAAAAAGGAGGTCTTTAGATTATTAAATCTTTATAGTGGAACTGTTCACTGCAATGTTCTTCAGGGAACCCAACATGTATATTCTATGGCATCACTGAAGAAACCCTCTTTTCGAACCTTTATGTTTAAGAGTGTTGGAATGTTGTTTTTTATTAAAGCTCTTGTTTGCACTGAATATTCACGTTTGGTGAATATTCAAATATTTATGCATTTTAAGAATAATTAACGGTGCTCGATTTTGTGCATTAATGAAATATTATTTTTAATTTCCGTATTTATTTTAGGCTGGAAAATGTATTTAAAAAAAAGTTCTAACAGTCCATGCTATTTGTTTAGAGTTATTTATGCTATTATTGATATTTAGCAATATTTATCTATTTATTTGGAAAATAGATAAATAATTGAACCAAAATTTCACTATATCTCACATTTTTTACTATTACTTATTAGTTTCATCATCAATAGGCAATTTTACAATATATAATCTTTTTGCCCATACCAGCAGACAACCACAGATAAGTCAAGCTAAAACCGATTTTATCTGCATTTATATTCTGAACATATGACATATCTGTACATGGAATGCATGGTTAAAAACCACATATAACCCTGAAAATGAGTCTAACATAGCTGTTCTCTTCCAGCTGCCATCTGTTTTCAGCAGTGGCACTTTCACAAGATGTTCTTACTTCCCTAGTGACAGCTGACATTAGATCACTGCCAGAAGAGAATAAAAGAAGAAGCCCGAGACTGACTGACCTGTAATGGTGAGGATGACTGCTCCAATGATCATGACAAAGGTCTGAAGAGTGTCTGTGTAGATGACAGCAGCCAAGCCACCTGGAGAAACAGAGGACTAAGCGGGTATTGCTCAATTCTCTCATGATGGTTTAATGTGATATGAGTCATCGGGGTCAAGTCTGAATCAGCACTTGTAGACAGAGGAGTAAATACAGTGACAGCAAAGCAGCGGATTAAAGTCATTATGCAATTATGCTGGAATCAGTCATGTAGACTATAATTACTGCTGCAGAAAGGAACTGTTACTGAACCACTGGGCTTCTGTGAGAAAGTTCAAACAAGTAATCATTTAGTAGAAGCTTTTATCCAAACAATTGACAGTAATACTCAAACCTGCGGTTAAGTACCTCAATCGAGGTTTGCACTGTCAACAACTCAAACCAGCAACATTCCTGTTACCAACCCTGAGTTTTAACCATTATGCCACTCTATCCAGTTTTACAACATTGCAGTTGATGAGGAATCTTCTTTAATACTGCAACAACGGTGTGTGACACCATACGCTGTTTTGTCACGCTACACTGCTGATTGTTGGAAAAAGCTCAATTGTGGCAACTGCTCACTACTGAAACATGTAGTGGTACCGCTTTAAACAATAAGCATCATGAACTATCATCATTTATTAATCTAGGTTGATGCGAAGTTATAAATATACTATTGTTCATTGTTGATTCATGTATTATGAACAAACATTAACAAATGTTAATTTATACTTGAGTAGCCTATACAAAATGTAGCCTATTAGTAATGTAGATTAATAAATGCTCTCGAAGTATTGTTCATTGTTAGTTTGTGATGCCTAATACACAAATAGACTACCATTCTCAAGTTTGCATTAGAAAGACAGTTAAGCCCCAACCCCAAAAAACCCTTTCTATTTCAAATAAACGCATTTCTTTTGAACTCTCTATTTATCAAAGAATCCTGAAAAAACTATCAGTCTCCACGAAAATATTAAGATATTATTAAGCTCAACTATTTTCAACACTGATAATAAGAATCTTGAGCAGTAAATCAGAATGATTTCTGAAGGATCATGTGACACTGACGATGCTGGAAATTTGACATGACAGGAATAAATTACATTTTTAAAATATATTCAAATAGAAAACAGTCATTTTAATAATGTTTCACAATACGATTGTTTTTAATTCATGTTTATCAAATAATGCAGCTTTGGTAGGCATAAGAGACTTCTTTCGAAACACACAAAACAATCTTAATGACCCCACACGTTTGAACGGAAATACAAACCTGCAATAGTGTAGAGGGCCGTGACGACCAGCATGAGGACAGTGGAGAGGTAGAGATTCCAGCCCAAACAAACCTGGACAAACAGAGCTCCAGAGTACAGATCCGTCTGCAAAACACAGGATTTTAAGATCTCAGGTTGCTCATAGATATAGGAGACTTAATTGTGAAGTGTTTTCATCACTTTAAAAAAATATATGATCAATAAGTAATGACAACATATGTTTTTACATTGCTTTAACTCATCAAAATAAGGTAAGCAATTTTTTAATAAGTTATATAAGATTCAACTCATTTAAAAAAAATCAGTTTAAGTTTAATGCAATTTAAGTTGAAATGACTTAAACATCCAGGTTGATTACTTAAAAATGTAAGGCAGCAAACTTTTTTTTACAGTTATACTGCATTTGAGTATCAACTCTGTTTACTCTTGTTAATAAAGTAAAGACAGTTGTTGACATACATTAAAGGGTAAGTTCACCCAATAAAGGAAAATTCTGGCATTAATTACTCAGACTC